CCACTAAAGTGCGAGTCGTTCGCATTACCGGGTCATGCTCCGGTTCGGTTCTAACAACATTGGTTAATCCAATCACCATGTAACCGATAATAAGCATTGCGTGCGGTGGCCCACTCCCAATTTGAAGCCACTATTACCCAAGCCGCAGTAGCGTGTGGCTAGACATGGGTATCTATAGTGATGGCAATTTGAACCCGTCTCGCGAGTATTACCCAACCCGCAGTAGTGTGGGACGGGGCATAGGTATTTACTTCCGATCCGCCCTGTCCCATCTCGTCCAGTCCCGTTCTAGGTCCATTTTATCTCCATTTCTTGTAGTATCTATACATATTTCTCATATTTTGACTTTTCTTCGACTAGTTAGAAATAGAATCGATCTTTCAACTTGCTATACTCAATTATCCATTATATTATCACTATTTTGCATTCATAAAGTTTTTTCCACTTCGTTTTATTGTAAAAGGTAAAATTTTACGTGTATTTTTTTTAAATAACATGTAATAGTGGGTCGACCCGCCCCGACTCGTATCCGCGCCGGTTTTACCCGCCCCGACCGCAATAACGTGAAGCGAAGCATGGACATTGAGATACCCGCCCCGCCTCGCCCCATTGCCATCACTGTCCACTACCAATGTGTAATCATCTTTAAATACTGATTTTTTTAAACAAAATAATTGGGTCAAATTGATATGTTAAAATTATTCATCCAAATGAGTATGACCCCTAATGTAATTTAGTTATTAAAGGGTTATTTATCTTCTTCTTTTTTTTCGATGAGATATGACGCGAAAATAGTTAGAAAGAATCGCTGCCCAAAACCCCAATCCCACCAAAGAAACCACCCTGCAAGATTACAAGCCGCTAACTCTACTACAGAGAGCAACAGGGATATACTTGCCATAAAAGTTCGCCTATTGATGATTCGATTGACTTTCATTATTTTTTTAATTTTGTGTGAATTTCATTTATTATAATTATATTCGTACCAAATGTTCCGATTCTGAATATTTTTGAGAAAAAAGATGCTTGCTATCATACGTACATAATGGAAAGCTCATGGTCGTAGCTATATATACAGGCTTGTGGGCAGGGTGTTGAAATGGTTATCATGATAATTGCTAAACTAAATAAACCTAAATTCTATTAATCATGAAATACAATATCATAACTAAATCGTTCAAACTAATACAATAACCAAATTAACCAATTAAAATCACATTATCCTTAAGTGAGACTATTTTCCAGTTAATGCACCAATTCACAATTTATATAGTGAATAAAACATAACAATCAACACATAGTTATAGTTAACCCATAACCTAACAAAAATATATGACAACGGTAAGAGGTTAATGAATTGTTGCGTTTGTGTGAATTGACTTAGTCTCTTAGCAATTATCATTGGCTGAAAAATACTTTCCTTTCAAGTTTTCATCCCACCAGTGGCGTAGCCTGAAATTCATCTAACGTAGGTCAAACATAAAAAATATGACTTAAGTTTTAGGATGTGTTTTTTATCTGAAAATTTTATAAAATACATTCATCATGTAAATTATGAGGGATGTTAAGATACCACAGCGAAAAATCATTTATGATTCCACTACTCATCTTATTCTGAAGTGTTTGTTTACTTTTCTTATTGGAGTAAGTGTTTTTTCAACAATTGCAATGGCAACTGATAGCAAGAAACGCCCCCAAATTTCAAAATTTTGTTTGTATTAAACTTACTTACAAAATATATTAATTAAAAGCGCTTTTCGTAAAATTATCTACAATAATATGGAGATCTTGTATTAAATCGACGATATGCATAAAAATAAATTACTATATATCTTTTGGGCCAAGGTGGTGCAAATGACCTTGGCCTCAAATGGCTCCGCCACTGCATCCCAAATAATGTATGAGTTTTATCTAAATTAGACGTCCATATGTTGTGGTCTACACTCTACAAATGCAAATATACATGAGTCTAAAATGGAAGAATGTTTGACTCTTGAGTGGTTATGCAAAGTATAAAGTATGTGTATATAATATATATTAGATATATGACTAATTACTTAACTGGTTAATTTGGTTTGATTGATTAAGAGTGTCTGCATTAAGATCAAGATGATCTACAACATGGATCCAGGTATTTCGATCAATTTTTGATAATCTGACCAGATGATATTCCAAGGATTTATATATGTTAAATAAAGTACTAACAAATTCATCTTTGTGGGTCTGCAAATCTTCTTTGCTGGAAAAGCACTTTCCATAGAGCTTACAAATGAACGGATAAAGACGTATGTGCTCCGACTTGTGGTGAGCCTAAATTCGCTTGACTTCGTCGAAGCCTTTGACGCAGCAGTTGCAGGGATATGCTCTCTCACCGGCGTTCATCCAATCGATTTTTGGAGAAGAGAAATGGCTTTGAAAAGAAAGAGAGATTTGAAAGTAAACAGTTTTCTTGGGTGTCTTGGAATGGGATTCTGAGACTTGCAAGGGACGTTTGGGAGATCAGTGGGGAAGACGATGATGGAAACATTTTCCCCGCCAACGAGTTAGAGGGTAGCTTGCTCTGAAAGAGTCCCTGTATTTTTCATATTTATATTTATTTACTTCGGGCCTTTTGACTCTGGCTAAGCCCAGTTGTCTATAAAGCCCATCTCCCTCTTTTTTTTTTATCTTTCTCGCTCTCAAAAACACTGGAAAGCGAGATTGGCCAATTCGCTCATCTGTATATAGCCGACATCCCACAGCCCCGCTCTTTCCGTCACAAAGATGATATTCAACATGTACTTAAATCGCATCCCCGCTTTCCCTTTATGTTGTATCACGCCTTATATCGATCAAACATTCAAAGGTCCGTGATCTTCAATACGTCTAAATTTGGTTTTGATGAGAACTGCAACTTATGATATTCTTATGTGAACTGTAAATTTTGCTTGAGAGTTTGAAAACCTTACATTACAAGACTTTAACATTTTCAGGCAAATCAACGCTCACCACAACTCTTACCACAAATAGCATTATTCGTTTTCTTGTAAGATCTAAAACAAAAGTTTCGAGAATAAAACTGATCCTGAGACACACAACAACGAATTTAAGCTACTCATTGTCATCGAAAGAAATGTTAATGAAGCGAAGAATGATTTTATCGAATTCTTGACTATCATCGATTTATCCTCTGTTTTTGTTTAGGGAATGAAATTGTGAGGGAGAGATTTTTTTTTCTTTTTTTTGAAGGAAGGTGTAGAAAGAAAATGATAGGAAGATGTTGTATTATGTGAAAAAGAAATGAGAAAAGTGTGAGAAAAAAACATAGATTAGAAAGTGTGATGGATATTTTAATTATTTATGTTTATTTACTTACTCTAGCCCAATTGCCTAAATCCCAACTCCCTTCTTTTCCATCTCTCTTGTCATCTTGCGCTCTTGCAATGGTTGTCAAATCGGTTTACACCTTTTTGTCGATTTACTAAATGAAATGGTTCGACTACTGATACAATCAGTTTGTGTCGGTTAATACTGGTTTAGTAAAATATATGTAGAAATGTGCAAAAACCATTAACATCAAATGAATTTAATCATATATAAAACATATTTGAAGATAATTTACTTTTAGTCTATATTCATATTTCAATAAAATACAACATTTTAAATAAAATAATAAATACTCATATTTATATACAACATTTAACGTCAATTCCTAATCTTTTATGCTTGAATCCAACAAATTACATCAACTTTTAACTATTAAATTCTTTTTTTATTAATTGAATTCACAAAACAATTTCATTTGTATTAGAATTTAGAGTTTGTAAAATGATCATGAAGATCATACCAATGATGTTCATGCCAGTTTCATGACCGACGACGGTTGAACTTGGTTCTGGTTCAACCGGCCAACAATGCAACCAATGTTTCAATCAAGGGTGTAACCAGGATTTCATCTAAGGTGGGTCCACTTAGGAGAAAAATATACATGATAAAATTGTATTTGTTAGCTTTTTTAATTATTTATGATGTAATCTTATATTTGGAAAATTTTGATAAATTATAATACATTAGTAGTTGAAACTATCAAGAATATCACTCTTTATATACCAAAGAATTATTCATGATTTAGCTAGTCCTTCGTTTTCGAATGGTGTTCTTTGTCGAGAATCGTTTAGTGTCGATAACTCGATTTGTTGAGAGATGTTTAATAATGAATCTTATATCAACCAATTATTCATGATTTAATTATTCGTTCGTTTTCGAATGATGTTATTTCTAAAAAGAATTTAATATCAATAACTCGAAATGTTGAAAGAGCTTCAATAGTATATCTTATGTCATTTACAAACATACCCCTTGTAAGAAAGTTAAATTATATAGAATTGAGGTTTATACAAATCTAAGTATTATGCTTTTAATAAATCACGCCAACAAAATTTGAACATAAAACTTATCGATCAACTATATTTTCAATTAAACAAACCCTAATTTTCGGTATGAATTAACTATTGTATCTAATTAAACTATTTAACTCCCAAACTAGAACCCCAACCCACCCTCTAATACTCTCCGTGATGCCGGCAACTTGGGAAAAGTTAATCTGCTAACTTGAAGATTCGTTAGCAGATACTAACTCATATCCAAAATACATGAACTAGTATCCAAGTACTAAAGTATCTAGAGAGCACAGACTAGTATTCAAAGTTTGCTAACTGATATCCACCATGAATCAACTATTATCCCAAATTCACAAACTAATATCTAGACAACACAGAATAGTATCCATACAACACATAATTAGTATCCAGATAACACATAATAGTATCCATATTGAATACTAGTTGGTTGATTGTGGATATTAGTTGGTATCTGCTATCTGGATACTAGTTTGTGATGTTTAGAATACTAGTCTGTGCTATCTAGATACTCAGCAGACTTGGATACTAGTTCATACATTTTGGATATTAGTTAGTATATACTAACGAATTTTCAAGTTAGCAGAATAACTAGGGTGATGGCTCTTGCCCTCTTCTCATAAAATCAATTCTCTTTTCTTTTTCTTCTTCTTTCTTCCTCAAATGCCAATTTGAGCCCTGGCCTCCCTTTTCCGTTCTCTAGTTTCGGCTTCGTTAACATTAACGGACAGCGACAATCTCCGACTTGCTCCTTCCGGCGGCCTGCTGCCCTCTCTCTGTCCCTCCCAAATCTCTATTCAGCAGCAGGTACGGAAATCTCGTTCCCGATTTCCCTTGTATCACGCCTCTGTCGATTCGAAGGTCTGCGATTTTGAACTCGTCTGAATCTGTTTTAAGCTCATTTTTTCCGTTGCATAATCATCGAATCCCATTCTTTATTTCTGGGGTTTTCCCTGTTTGTCTGCTCGGGTGCCATTGCCACTACTTCTGGTTTGCGTAGGACCAACGACCAAACCCTTTACTTGTAGAGCTTCTGTTACAGAAGCCTGTATATAGTTTCCATAGAAACCCACCCTTGAAGAAAAGATGGATGCCTTTCCGCGATTAGATTATTCCTATCACCACTATTCTTTCCAGTTGAACCTCTCTATGCTGTCTGATTTGGCTGCTGATACATACTATTCCCCAATTTCTGCACTTGAAAAGCTTTCTTCCATGTTCTCCCGCAGTTTGCCACCTATAGTGATGCTATTCCTTTATGAACTGTAGTATCTGTGAGAATGAGTAATGCTGCATCATGTAATTTTTCATCTTTACAAATTGTCAGTTGTCCTAATCATGAAACTTTGTGTTTGGTTTTTAGTCAGGTTTCTGAATTGTGCTTCTTTTGCATCATTGTATGCCCCCTTTGTTTCTGTTGCTATAGGAGGATGAAGTAATTCTTTTGAATTGTGGGTCTTTGCATCAATTCTTCCATAAGATTGGAGCTGGGATAGCCATTTCATCGTTGTTAGCTGCTTTCTATTTTGGATTGCTTTCTAATGGTTCTTAATTGTGATTGAAACTTCGGTTATTTTTGTCTAGCAATCAGTAAACTGAACCTTAGTCTATTTCCTACAGAAGAGCAAAGCAAACTGAAAAGTTGGTGGGGCTGAAGCATGGCAGATGGAGGTGATGAAAGCCAAACCAACAATAGGTCAACAATTACCGGAGGAGAAGGGAATGTAGAAGACATGACAAGAGGTAAAGGTGAGATGAAGGAGACAACAGCTGCAGGAGCAGCAGGCAACTGGGTGAACGATCTGCAGAGGAGTGTGGTAGAATCGAAGGATTCAGCACTACGCTCTGCCAATTCCTTCCGTCAATGCTCTTCACTCCATTTCCGCTCTCTACAGGTACCTCCAGGACCTCTTATGTCTAACCTCTAGGTTATTGTATTTATTATTATAGGGTTGTTTCTGATAGATATCCACGCGGGAAACGTTTGTGATTGGGTGCTTTAGGATCATTATGTGCCTGATGCCATCTCTAACCTGAAGACTTATGAAGATGCTTTCTTCACCAAACTCAAAGGTAATCTGTAGATTAATTAGTTCAGGGCTTCAAACTTTATGGGTTCATTTTTATTGATGTCTGCTGATTGTGCTCTTCTTTTCAGATGGTTTAACAGCATGCAAAGAATACCCAGCTACTTCTCTTGGAGTTGTACTCTCCTCTTCCCTTCTTCTAATGCGAGGTCCCTCCCCACTGATTCCCCAACTGCCCCGTATTGTCTGATTCTTGTTGATGACCAGAGACCACTTGTTTGTTGTGAGAATTGTTTAATCCAAATTAATCTGCGCTGGTTTCGGTCTTTTGTTTTCATCCTCCACAATGTAGATGATTAAGTATATTTTTCTTTCTTAATCATTGGTAGTTCCACTTGCTCTATTAAAGCAGACTCGTACAAAGGAAAGATCCTAACTGTTGCCTTGATCAATGGTTGCAGAAATCATAGACTGGTTCATTCTTGACTGACCTTTAGAGCATTTTCAACTAACAGGTCCACGAAGATTTTTGCTGCGCCAGACATTCGGTCGATTTCAGAGTGAGGAGGTCTCTGGTCTTTTTCTTGTACCATCAGTTTTGCAACTTACACCGGACCTACTAGTTTCTAATATTTATTATCATTTTCTGTTCCCACTCCAATTCAACGATCAACACTATTCGCAACTTCCAACTGAAGGTTATAATGTCCTTATTAGATCCTTCCTGCCATTATGTCTTGTCCCTTGTAGACACGTTTCCACAAAGCTGAGAAGAGTGTCAAAGAGTTTGGTTCTGCTGTTGATGAGATGAAGAGGGTAAGCGAAATGTTGCGTGAAAGGGCTGCTAAAGCCGAGAAGGGCATGAAACATGGCTACACTGAACTCATGTAACTCTCTTATGCTTGCTGCTACTCTCTTATACTCGTCCCCTACATTTCTGTGTAGGATAACTCATTTAATTTTGTTACTCATCAAATCTGTAGAAATCAGTAAATAAAAGCTCATCTGTTTTGTATTCTTGCAGGGGTGCTGGAAATCAAATTCAAAGCTTATCCAAATCTGTTTATAAGGTCGAGCGCCAGGCTGCAGGTACATGTACTATGCTGATACTCTTACTTTTCTAAACTGGATCAGAATGAATAGGGTTGTGGATCACTGTAAACCTCTTTTCTTTTCGGTTAGCAATCCTCTTTAGAATAACTCAAGCATAAATTCCAGCATTTGATACTACTGTCCTTTTCATGTTGATTTAGATTTGGTGGATGGTCTGCGAGAAATCCCGAGCAGGGAAGCACTGAAACTTCGACTTGAGGTGAGTAATGTCCATCTTCATTTCATAATCACTCTTTTCCTCCTCCCATCATTGTTGTGAGAAAGAGAACACAATTGCAAACTTCCATTTGTCAAATTTGTAGGTGGCTTCCATGGTATCCGACTTGAAAAAGCAGAGGACAGAGCTGGATAAGCGGATCCTGAAGATCTCTGAACTAGGAGTACCGGTTTGATTCTGCAAAATGTCATCTTCAGCGGCAGCCATGAGCTCTATTTCTATCTAAACTTTTTGTCAAGTACCTATTATTCCTATCATCCTATGACTGGTTATTGGCTCTTATAGTCCACGAGCCTAGATGCATAAATTGCAACTCTGGTTAGTATTTAGCTGACGAATAACAGCACAGTTGTCCTTCTGAGAACTTGGAGTTTGCAACTTCCAAATATCTATGACACTAATGCAACTTTTCAATAACAACACTGTTGATGCATCCCGTGTCAAACATTTAATACATATTTATTCAATTGTATTGACAATTTGATAATCTTCTATATCTATATTCAATTACAAACTTCTGATATTTTGTAATTGATGCTGAACTTTTAAATTATTGTCTAGATGAAAACGACGAACCCAACTCTGGATGTAATATCGTTGTATACTCATACTGCATTTTACTAACCACGAATCTAATATGAGAAAGATTGCAATTGGAATATGGACATGGTGAGATCGATGGCTGCAGATTGGATTAACACAATTCAAATTCACTGCAACTTTCTCATTGGGCTCTAGTTTTCCATCCAAAACAATGCCGGGAATGGGAAAAAACAGATACAATACCAACAGAAAATGCGGAATGAAAAAAGCGAACAAATTACAAATTGCCCAAAAGAAACAAAGAGCTTTTGTCAAACCATGACAGACACCATTATTCACTCATCACCAAGAACAGTCCCCTGCATCAACCACAGCCCTCTTCCAGCCAATTCAAAGACCTTTCCTTTTTCCCGTTTCCGGCCAACCACCTTACTCCTCCGTCAATGGCACAGCTTCAGCCTGTTTGATTAACATCATCATCATCATCAAAACCAGACACCCAATAGCCAATGCAAATGAATCAGACGTGATTAGTTTGTACTTGAACTTACCAGTTTACGGTACTTGAGGGCGTAAAACATCTCGATATAGCGTCGGCTCTCCTGGCGATCCAGGTTCGAGACATGCTTCCAGAAACCATACACTGCAGTGAGTGTCAGCAGCCTCTGCGAGTATATCTGCCAAGTATACCTACATTGCCCAGAGCCAGAGAAAAAAAAGGGGCACCATTAAGTGTCAAAGTAAAGGATGTCTCAAGACTTATCAACACCATATGAGAAGGAAAGCTTACTTCTCTTGAATACGCTGGAGGCCACCCAGCGAGATCTCGTCCCAGTGGGCCGGATCAGTCTTGCACTTCTCAAAGAAGTTCACCAGAAGCTCAGCAGCTTGATCCCCATGGTAGGGATCAATGTGGAACCCAGACTTGCCATGGACGATGATCTCAGCCGGCCCACCGTTGTTGGTGGCGAAGGTAGGCAACCCACAAGTCATGGCCTCAACGACGGTGAGACCAAATGCTTCGTACAGCGCAGGCTGCACGAACGCGCCTTTTGTGTCTGCGATGCAACGGTACAGCTCACCGTTCCTCACCCTGTCCATCTGGGAAGAGATCCACCTGAACTGGCCCTGCAGCTTGTACTCCTCGATCAAGCTGTACATCTTCTTCATCTCGGCTTGCTCTTCCAGATCCTTGGACTCCTTCCTCCTGTCTCCACCCACGATCACGAGGTTCACCAGCTCGCGGAGCTTGCTGTTCTTGCCGTACCACTCGACCAGGCCGGTCAAGTTCTTGACCCTGTCTAGCCTAGCCATTGTGAAGATGATCGGCTTGTTCTTATCCTTGAGCACCCCCCTGTGTGGAAAAAAATATTCAGAGCAATGAGTAATAATGAAGCCTTGTGCGACAAGTAATTGAGGGAACTAAACAAAGAAGAGAGTGAGGTGGCACTCACAAGTGTTCCTTGTTCTCGACGTCACTGTAGAGAAGCTCCTGGATATCGGGATGGAAATGCTTGAGCCTGCGCTTCTCCTCGACGTAGGAGAAGTAGATGCTCATGTCAGCTCCAGGGGAAACAATGTTGAATTTGGGGTCGAAGACGTTGATACCGTGAACAACACGGTAGAGCCCTGGTAAGGTGAAGGAGGTGTGGCTTTCATACTGTCCCACGGTGTCCTTGCTGTTCAATCAATCGACACATCAATCGTAAAATGTTATATATAATATTCAAATGAAAGAATTACCCTCCATTGAAATGGAAATGGAAACTGTCGAAAATACACAACAACGAACAACCCACCCACCTTCCAGCAATCTCTTGGTATGTGCTAGTGATGATGAAATCGGCATGGTTCATGGCGATAAGATCAGCGGTGAACTGGCAAGAGAAGTGGTACTTCTCGTCCATCTTCTTCCAGTAGATATCTGACTCTGGATACTTAGTTTTCTCCAGAGCATGAGCAATTGTACACTGCAACAAATACATCCCCAATGATCAGCCAAATGCAACTCAAAAGAACATCTCATCCTTTGATCCACGCGACACGATCTATGTTTAACAAAGAAAAGATAGAAGAAAACCTCGGTAACACCCAGCTTATGCGATAGCAATGTGGCCACGATGTTTCCATCGCTGTAGTTCCCGATGATGAGATCAGGCTTCCCTTGGAACTCCTTGCCAATTTCAGTAGCAACATCCTGCATCCATGTAAAGGACACATTAACTTTCTCCCCATGTTATTGAATGGTCTTAATTACCTCTCTATATCCAAATAGGAATGATAAAAGTCTGGTAAGTTAAAAATAAGATCAACCAACCTCAGTGAACGTCTCTAGGTATGGCCACACTTCAAATCTAGAGATCCACTTGCGAACAATTCCCTTTTCGGTCCTAAATGGAATTCGAAGAATATCCGAATACTGAGTTCCATACACTTTCTCCATCCGCTGCCCACAAGTGGTTCCAACCGCATCAGGAAGGAGACGAGTGATCTGCACAAACCCCCCACACACTCCCATCAATCCAATTACCACGAAGCACGAAAAAAGCTAGAGATTTATAGACAAGAAAGAAGAGGGTAGCAAAATGCTGATGATGAACATACAATGAGGATACGAGGGGTGATGTCGAGGCCTTGCTGCTTGATACGCATCAGCATTTCCTCTTCCAAAGCACGAACTTGATCCAATATGTACACAACCTGGCCGCCAGTGTCGGGGTAGCCAAGCACATTGTCCTGCGCGAAGTAACCGTGAGGAGACATGATGACGACATTGAACACCATCGGGATTCTGCTGAGGAAAGTCTCGAGCGTGCAAGGATCGGGCGCCTCCAGGAGGTCCAGCAACAGCTGGATCATCTCCAAGGCACGCTCCGCGGTAGCGCCCCACCCTCTCTCCAGCCCCATGTCCTGGAACTTGTGCTCGAATGTCGAGTAAGGCGTCTCGACCGGTAGCGTGATCAGGTACTCCTCTGCCTTGCGCAGCACATATTGCAGAGAATTGAAGTTGTGAATCCTGTCGTTCAGCATCATGTTCTGCCCCGCCATAAACAAAACACCACAAGTCCACAACATCAAGTTACTGTAATAATAATAAACTTTGATATAAAAGGAACTAAATGCGAGCTTTTGGGGTATTTTTTTACCTTTCCCTTGTGGCAGTGAACCTTGAGGAACTCAAGGAGAGGGTGCATGCTCTCCTTGTCATGGAAGAGCTTGGCGGACAAGTGACGATTGAGGAACTCGACGCCGTTGCCGATGGATTTGGAGAGGCTCGAGCGAGGGAAAGAGGCGTTGAACGGCTCAAAGTCCAGCTCCAGAGTGAAATTTCCATTAGAGCTGTCACCAGGAGGCAAAACAGAAGTTAACAAAAAAAAAAAAAACGATCGAAACGAAATTAACAAGCAAAACCAGACCCAAAAACAGGGGAGGGGGATCCTACGTTCCATCAACGAGCTCTTCCTTGAAGTGGAGGTATTCGGGAACAGTGAGCTCCTCGACGACCAGAGCATGGAGATTGACCCGAAAGTACTCCCAGACGCCGGGCCTGGGGCGCACAGCCAGAGCGACCCACGGAGGCAGCACGATCGCTTCCTGTGCCGATTTCAGAACATCGGCGAACACGCCTTCCTGGAGAACCTTCTGGTCTTTCTCCGGGATGGCTTCGAATTCCGCAATGATTTGGTGGTGCTGCAGGATCCCCTTTCCCTTTGCCTCGATCCTGGAGAGCAAAGAGACGAGCTCGTTACGGTTGCCAGCGAGGGTGCCATCGAAGCGCTCCCTCATGCTGTTGATGCGAGTGATCACGCCATTAGCAGCCATGGCTTCTCTTCAGACGGGACCTTCAAACGAAAGAAGAAGAAAAAAAACAGAGCACACAAAGTTAAGTGGGAGAGGATGGATAGGAGAAAGAAGCAACAGATTTAAATAAAAGGGCTCGTGGGGTTGTTTGGTAGATAGAAGAACAGAGAGGTGGACGAATCACCAGAGAGTCAAACGTCATTATATGGACAGCACAGCCATTAATGAGATCACGGTGTTGGAACGAACAGAGATACAGAAGAAGAAGAAGATGAAGAAAGACCAAAAAATCAAAACTGACTTCACCAAAAGAACCGACCTTTTTCATTAGACTAGATTAGGATTAGCTGAGAAGAAGATAAAGACGGTAACAGAGGGAAAGAAAATTATTCTAGGCGTGGAAAGTCAAGCTGTGAAGCGGAGAAAAGTAGTGTTCTTTAGACCAGAATGAACTTCTGGAAACTGGGCTACTAGTCCTAATCAAGTTTGCTTCTGCTTCTTGCTTGCTTGCATGGTAAAAAAGACTATGAAATTTTACCAGTAACCCCTTAATTTCATTATAAAAAAAAACCCAGATGGCCAAAAATGGCGGGTGGCAGAAAACAAGGAGAAAGGAGAGCTTACCAGACGGGAATGGACGAAACCCACGAGGGAGAGAAAACAGAGTGCTTTGTTGGTTGAGTCTTAGCTATAGCTGGGGAAACAGAAACAGAGTAAAGAAAGAAAGCGTATCAGTATGCAGAAACTAGGGGAAGGAAAAGAACAGAGAGAAAACAGAGAACTCCACCTACCCACCAACAAAACCGACCAAGGAAACGGACGAAACCCAGAAACCAATGAAAAATATCGAAGGTGGAGGGATGGGATTGGAAGGAAAATGAATCAGAAGCACGACGATGATACAAATGGGAAGAGGGCAGTGCGCCCATTTATTTATAGCCCAAGAAAACAGAGGACCCTAATAAATTAACCAGGGTTAAAAATTGGATCAAATCAAATGCAGGGGTTTATCCAATTCCTTTCGACTAACTAACCTGTCTTAGTTTTCTTCCCTGGTTGGTTAAACGTTAAAAAAATGGGACCTTCCGTTCTAAACCAGACACTGTGCAGTGGGAGTGATTTCCGGGGGAGAAATTACTTAAAATATTGTTTAGTGTGATAGATAATGATGATTATGATAGTGTGAATAAATGTTTCTATGGTTATATAATATTAATCAATTAATATAAAAATCCATCAAAATCCTTTCATCTCTATCTGTCAATCACTAGCTAATATATTCTTGTGAAAGAAGAAAAAACCCCCACTAAGCTAACATTCATGGTTGAAAGAGAAAAAGCTTTTTTGGGCGTGAACACCAAGCAAAGCCAACAACTCCCAATTCCCCCTTCTCTTTCTCGTCCATGCAGGTGTCCCTCTAGCATAATAAAAATACGACATTTTGTAGGTTTTGCAGGTCGAGAATCTGCGCCGAAAATCTTCCCTATTAAATTTGATAATGATACTATTAATTAAGAATGCAGAGAAATTAGCACATATGGGTGAAATCAATTTTAAAGAGAAGGAAGAGAGTGATGGGGAACTTCTATGGTGCGTACTCGTCAATGCAGGTAGGAACACATCATAAAATTACAACCTCTCCTTCCGATCCTCCTCGTTTTTTTCTTGACGGTGATCAGGTCGAGTGATTCTCGACCTGATCCCTCCTCGTCTTTTTTTTTCGGTGGTCAGGTCTGACTCGACCTGACCACCACGTACCATCCAAACCGCCCCGAAACAAAGCAGAGCATAGAGAGCTAGCAATAAGACAGAGAGACAGAGAGGGTTGAAGGGATTGTTTATTATTACCTGCAGGTGGATGGGATGGATTGATTCAATGCTCACAGAGAACTGCAGAAGAATGCTGCATGCAACTCGAAAAGCTCAGTAACAGAGAGAAACAGAGGACGAGAGAAACGCAGAGAAGGGAATGGTTATAGGAGAGGAGATGAATGACGGAATGATGGAGTAAAGCTATCGGCCCGTGCTCCTTTTTATACTGCAACTAAAAACCAGCCCAATGGAGGATTTAGATTTAGATTAAGATTGAAGACCAGCTGCTAGCTAGCTGCTGCGGGTGGCGGACACTAACCAGTAACTACTACTGCACCTTCCTCTTCCCAGATTGTTAATTATAATTAATTCATTAAATCAGTGTTAGTTGACGATGAAAACAATGGATGGTTTTCTTTCGAAAGTAAAAAGCAGGGGCTTTCTCCAATGGGGGCGTTACTCTGTCACCTTTTCCTGTGGGCCGTTCCTTTCCACCCAGAAAAAAAAACCAGAAGCAAAACCGCTTTTCCTCTCCGGCAGCCACCTTTTTTTGTTTCTAATTAATTAATCAGGAGAGACGCAATAAGCACGGAGTTTTATACTTGTATATGGGGAAGACTAATTATGTTGGAAAGAGATAGAAAGAGATTAGGTTTATAGAATTCTTGTTCCGTAATTGTTTAATGAGAAGAATCCACCAACTAGACACTATAAACCCTGTAAATTTTCACCGACTATTAATTAATTAATGGCGCAAGTATGCGCTACTGTTCCATACGATATTATCGCTAATCACCATGGGACCGTGCTAATTAATATTAATTAATTAATGGCGCAAGTATGCGCTACTGTTCCATACGATATTATCGCTAATCACCATGGGACCGTGCTAATTAATATGGGGGAATTTACTGTTCACTGTAGGTTTGTTCCCATGCGGCCATTTTTATTTAAGTTGGGTTTAAATGTATTATTAAATCATATGCGACATTTTTATTTAAGTTGGTTTTACATGTCTTATTAAATAATGTGTTACATAATGTTATAGATTATTCTTTAACACAATTAATAAATTCATCACGTAATAGGTTACTCATATTTTACTTTTTAAATTTGATTTTATTATTAGACCACACTAAACTATAAAAGTTAAATATCATTATGGAACCTTTTTGTAATGACTTTTGTAATGCCATTCTATACGCAAAGTAAACACACGTTACACTAGCTTTGTTTGGCATAATAGTTTAATCATATGTTACTTTCTAAATTTGATTGTATACTTTCTAAATTTGATTGTATTATTAGACCAAACTAAACTATAAAAGTTAACTAACATTATGGAACCTTTTCGTAATACAAAGTGATGACATGGTGGATATTTTAGTTAATAAGGTTACTGGATGATAGTTATTTCTTACATACGTAACGCTTGAACAAATATGTTACATAAGTATGGTAACTTTATTACTCATTCATGTTGTGTGGACGATCTCTTAGTGTTTGCTACTGGATATGTGAGGGCTGTTGCTAGGATCCGAAGGTTGCTGGACCAGTTCTATAGTGCCTCAGTTACAAACTTACAATGTAATGTGTCGAAGTGTAATTTATTTTGTGCTGGTGTCTCAGAGGAGGAAAAAGCCTTTGTTTCTCATACAACAGGGTTTCCTTTAGGTATTCTCCCAGTCAGGTATCTTGGGGTTCCCCTTATTACTAATAAATTGAGTTCTTCTACTGAATGCCAGCTGCTGATGACAAGGATCACTGCAAAAAGTAGTAGTTGGAATGCCCATTTACTTAGCTATGCAGGAAGACTTCAATTAAACTCCTCAGTTGTAACATAACCAATACGTTTAGTACTGGATGTCTATTTTTCTACCGCCAATGAAGGTATTGCACGAGGTAGAGAATATATGTAATCTTTTTCTCTGGGGTGTATGTGGTGAAATGTTATTCATGATCACATAATTGTAATGCATGGCCATTTGTACATTTTTACTATTGTAAGTGGTCATGTTTGCTTGCTTCTTTTGAGATAGTCATTTTTATTAAATTTTAAATTATATTACGAAAAGAAATAATTAGCTTATAACCGCGGCAAAGCGCGGGCCAAAAAACTAGTCCATAATAATACTTCCTAACCAAAACACCACAACACTCCCTAAAAACATCCCCTGAAACACCAAAAAAAAGACATCCCAAAGTCACGAAAACATAAATACACCGAGAAACTGATTCACATGACAAAAATAACTCAAAATCCAAACGAATTATCTATCTATTGTTTAAACATGTCAATGGTATGAGCTCCTCCTCCTGCCTTCTTATTCCCCCTCCCTTATTCAATTGAAAATAATTACTACCCTTAGTAAATTGTAACCGATTTGGGCCAAAGCTTGTTTGCATTTCACTTCTTCTCTATTGGTGGAGCCTATGATCATGATTTAGCTCACCAAACGAATTAATTAATGATAATTATGCTTAGTGCACTCTTTGATTTATTAATCAGTTTTTTTTTTGCTCTATTGGTGAAACTTTGGTGTATGTATTGAATGCGCCTCCCATTCTTACCCAACAAGTTAAATGAAGATGTTTCCATGATTTACAACTCCTCAAATAATAAGGATTGTGAAGCAGTACAGGAGGTTATATCATAAAGCTAGCGATATATGATATTTTGTGATAAAATTATGGTTTAATAGTCTCATACCACTAAAAACTAGCTATCGCTAAAAGATGTTTACGGTCGAACCTCTAATACGGTACAGTTTCACAAACACTTACAAATAATAGGCCATGCCATGTGTGCGTCACAAAAGTGGGAGACAAGGAAACTACTAATTAACTAAACACTGATCAATAAAGTATTGTTAGCTCTTATCCACTTCTGGATTAAATTCTTCATATTGTATTATTATTAGTTTATGTTATATAATCTAACTTATGAGGACTTTAGTATTACCTTCAAAAAATCCAAATTGTTGGCTTCTGTACTGCCAATTCTCAGGTTACCAAATCCAGCGGCTACCCCCAACTGTGGTTTTGGACCATTCTGTCCCATTCCGACTTCCAATTAACAATAATAATAATAATTAATATTATTGTTAATTTATATATATTATATATATAAAGCAAAATACTCGCTTTTGGGCCCCAGATCGCAGGCTTGCAAAGATAATTGTTGGGCTGCTGAGCCCAATTTGCATGCTTTTAGGCAAAAAGTAAATAGAAGCAACAACAGGCGACTACATAGCATAGCAACAACAGGTTTGCAGAGAGTGGTGACCCAGAAAGAGAAATACGAATCATAGGCCCGCAGCATAGCATTGTCACCTGATTTGGGCTGGGTTGAAGTTTCAAAAAAAATCTCCTTTTTTTGTGGGCTTTCAACGGGGGAAGCCCACTACTATAAAATTCATATCACGAGTGGAAGGCCTTCATGGCTGGGTGGGTTGAGGTTGAATAGTCAACAGTACTTGACAAAAATAAAACGTGCATTACCATGCACGTAACGTAAGCTCTAGGTCCACCCGAGAAAAAGAAGAAAGAGATAGTAACGATGATAAGCTCATAAGGTTCACTCATACCTCTAGTGGAGGACTTGATTAATTTGTGTGGAAACTTAGTTGTGTGGTGCAGATTTGAGTCTCGAGTCTATGTCATTTAGCGTGGAAGCTTCAGTTATGGTGTAAATTATTTTACTCTCCCCCTGTCAAACTAATCTCAAGTCAAGGTCTTTCTCTGGCTTTGTACTTGCTCTCCATGGAGGTTCCCTATATAATATATACTCTCCTCCGATCCCCCAAGCAGCTAAGCAAAGCCATTGAAAGAGAGATATTGAAACTCCATCCACCCATCCATCCATCCATGGCGAAACTAACAGCTGTTTTATCCCTCCTACTAACGCTGCAACTATGTTGCGATGCGTCTAACCATTCATATCCTCCTCCTCCTCCATCACCGATCTCTTCAGAACGTTGTCGTCCTGACGAGGGCACTGCACTGCTGCAGTTCAAGAACTCCTTCGTCTCGGTACTCAAGCGCGACGATGACAAAATGGCAACGTGGAAGGAA